AATGAAGTTACAAACCAATGAAGCAACTATAGTGGAATGTCTTCACAAATTTAGAAAGGTGGGCTTAAAGAAAGGTTTCTCATAATTAAAAATTAAAATAATTTATTTTAGCAGGTGAAAATTTGTTCGAAGCATTATCAAGAGAACCCCCATTTATTATTTTTCATCAAATAATTTCAACTGCCATTCTCTTTCTAAAATTTCATATAAAGATAACAGACTTCATTCCTATTTATGGTACATTTATTATGTTGAAAAAAAAACTTCCTGTGGACCAGCAAACCAATTCTGCAGACCACAGGTTGGTGAACACTGGTCCAAATTACACTTTTGACAGTTCCCAAGAGAATTAGGACAGGGACTAAACAATAAATTTCAATTTTACAGAATTTTGACAATGGAAAAAAAATCCACAAAACTTACAATGGGTCAAGATGTTGATGGTCTCATTGTGCAAGTACAGCAAACTGGCAACACTGCTCCATGCGTCCAACGCGCCTCTGTAACCCGTCAACACAAACGGGTTAAACCGCAAATGCACTGGCACTTGTTCAATTGGGTACACCTTGCAATTCCCCATTCCCCCCCTTTCTTCTCAAATACGAAAGAGAGAAAAAAAAACGCATTAAAAATCACAATTTCAACCCAAAAGATTCCACACACACAAAAAAAATAAATATGTTCAACTCTCCCACATGAAAAATAAACCAATTTCTTCAACTGTTCTCGCGCAAGAATTTCCAAAAACCGAATTTCCAGGTCTCAAGTTACCAGCGTTTTTCTCTTACTTTTTTCTTTCTTCAAATTCAAACACATAAACCTGCTTCGTTTTTGTTCTGCTCTTTTCACTGGATCGACAACCAACGTCCCACACAGGAAGACATTCCAAAAAAATAAAATAAATTACCTACGACTAGATCGAAAAAAAAACAGGACAGAGATAAAACTGAAACAAAAAAAATCGCATAAGGAATGGCTTCCAACGATTATTTAAATAAAATGATTCTTCAAATCACGCAGAAAAAATAAAACCAAAATACAATCAAATGAATATAAATCGCCGAACGAAGCGGGGGAAACAATTTCGACACAAAAGCCTCGACATATTTCGCGCGCAAAAACAGATCTCGAGGGAAAAAAAAACATACCAAAATAATAAAAACCCGGATAAATTGCAACAACGAAAAAAAAGGTGGGACACCATTTCGGTGGTGGCGCATTTTTGCACCACGGAAGCGATACAAAAAATATTTCTCAAACGAAACCAACGCAAATTTCGGGAAACGTAAAAAATTCGGAATGTCGATTTTTTTTCTTCTCGCGTCCACATCACGGGGAAATAATTGATAAGCATCGTTTTTCCATCGCCATAATTAAAAAAAAAAATTGAATTAGAACATCGCGGGAAAACAAAAAAGATTCCACGTTTTTTTTTCGGATTGTTCAAAGAAGTCTTTTTTGTTAATTTTCTGGATAAATAAGATTCTTTAAGGCTCTGTTTCTCCTTCCCATTTAATTGTTTTGGCACTTGCTCAATTGCAGCAAAATGTCTCACCATTACTCATGGCAAAAATCCGACACATGACCAACATATTTTCCTTCTCCCTGTTTTTTCAACTACTGTAATATAGAAATTTGAAAATATCAATAACGGAAATTCCAGCAAAAACAGTTTTTTTCGAAACTTGCACTTCCGGTTTCTGGATGTATCAAATATGGAGCTTTCTTCAAATACAGTATTGCCAATCAATCAGATTTTGGGATCAGAAATAAACTAAACTTTCAACAACCAAAACATTTTCAGAATTCCAACTCCCTCCCCCCGAAAAAATGAGAACACTTTGAAGCAGCTGTTAGATCAGTGTCTTGTTAATTTTTAAAAGCTGTCCTCATTACAACGATGGCAACCCTGTTATTCCACTTTAATATCAGCAACAAGAATAAACAAAATACTAAATTTAAAAAAAAATTTCTAGAACTTTTTGTTCCGAAAAGTCGACACCTGAATCAGGCCAGGATGAAATATTGAATTTCTCTTCAAAAAACCTTGATACAAATATTTTAAAATTTAGTTCAGTTTTTATGCGGTGTTGACAACTCAAAAAAAGGATTTGTAGAATTTATTAAGTTTTAAAATCTTGGAACATTTTTCATTAACCAGGTTTGAAACGGTGCCAAATTTTTACACTGAACACAAACAAGTACAGTAATGCACATCAACACAAAAGCTAACAGCAACACAAATTATCTTGAAATTAATTCATAAAATTTTTCTAAGCGCAGAAGTCGCGGACAATTGGGACAGTGTTGCCAAAGTTCAAATATAACAGCATCAAAAGAACAGTTCCCAAAAGCAAATCTCACACTAGCAACAACAGAGAAGAGAAGAAAAATTTCTCCTTTTTTTCCAACAAACTGTGAGGAAAATTTTTAAAAATGTCCCTTTTTCTCTTTGCAAACTTCTTGAACACTCCTCATGATAAAACATCCGAATAGAAACATATTTTTTATTCCCTGCAGGTAACGAGAATTTCTCTCTCTGTCTCTCTCTTCACTCACAATCAAGTGTCCAATATGAGCATCTTTTTTTCAAAAAAATCTTTCTTCTCGCAAGTTTTCCGCAATCAAAAATGTCAATCCTCAGAATTCCAGTAGCTGGGAAGCAAATATTTTCCCTTAGTTTCCCCCAAAAACACCAACAACCTTCAACAAACCGCCAAAGAAAAGAAAATTTTCCATGAAATTTTTCTGAGAAGCGATTCATCGACAAGAACATATTTCTCTTTCATAAAAATTAATCAACTCACAAAATTGGTACACCAAGGACTTAGTAGTGTTTCTTCTTTTTTTTTTTTGTCAGCGAAACTTTAATCGATGAATGATCCTTTGCCTTCAAACAGCCTCGAAATTCGTTGTCCCTTTATAGGAATGAAGCTGCTCAACAGAGATCCACCGGGAAAAAAAACATATTCCCCACCAAGTAGTTCCAAAAACTTGAAAAAGAAGTTTCACACGCGTTAGAGAAATCAGTCCATCCGCGAAAATTTCAAAAACAAAATAAACCGACTCCTCCTCTAGTAATCAGATCCGAAAAAAAAACAATAAAATAAATCTCGCGTCGCGGAAGAAGGGATAAAAGTGGAAAATCTAAGTAGAAAAAAAATAAATAAATAAAATGGAAGACAGTCACGTTTTTCGTTAATGAGCTCCACGAGTCGATGCTCGAGTGCTTCTCCACATACATCCGTCCAGTGACTTCCGGATCCAGGGAATCCTCATTACTGATTTTCCGCAAACCCGAAAAGAAAAAAGAAATCTTCCGAACAAAAATGAAAAATCCACAGCAACGAAACACTTGATCTCCTCGAAGCCAAAAATATCACCCCGGAATCGAAATAAAATTCAAACAAAAAAAAAAGGATCCCCGAAATTTTGTTTCTCTATTTTTAAGTCGCTCTCATCCTGGGTTTATGTGACTAAAGGGCGTTCAAAAAGTGTTGAATCTCTTTTCCCACATTCCGTCAAGTGTTTCTCTGTTCGCGTTGAACAAATATATATATATATTTTTTTTCATTAGTTAACTCAAATTTCTCAAATATGACGAGTAATCTTATTTTTCACGTCAACTTTCCTTGAATAATATCCCACATGAACATTTGTGACACGCATGCGGATTCACAGATGTCACTTGAATGCAAAATCAGCTTAAAAAACAATTACTATAATATCCCATAAATAGAATATCCGCGTCAATTTCAGAGGCTCTTCGAGAAAATGCATCAAAAAACTCGCCAGAAAACCTCAAAATCGTCAGGAAAAAGTGCATCAGAAAGAAAAGCGTACAAACGCCACGAAATAAATTTAAAGAAAGTGTAGATATAAACAATTCTGCGCGTGTTCGACCCCCACTTCCTCTTTTTCTGTCAAGATCACGAAAAAATCCCAGAAAAATTAAAATCCAAGACCAGAGGCTCTGTGACGCAACACACATTAAGCTCTATGAAAAATTCAATGCTACTGACTAAAATTTCGTTATTTAAGAAAAAATTAGAACAATTAGGTTTAAAAATAATCATATGGGAAAAGTGAAAAAATACAGGTCCTCTAGGAAATAATTGGGCGGGAAAATGTCAAGAAACATTAATTCAAGAGAGAAAAAAAAGGAGGAGGGAGAGAAAAACTGTCGATTGAGTCCCATACTCTAGAAGGATCACAAATCAATATCGACGTCTATAGGCTCTGTGACGGGACAAAAACTGTTCTCCACGACAAATGCGACACCCAACGGTTCTTCAAAAAGGAAAATAAAACGAATGGAACACCTCAAAATCGTGAATGAAGCATAAAATTGCCCCAGAAAAAAGAAAGACGTACAAAACAGTAAGAAAACGCGAAAAAAATTTTCAAGTCACGAGAAAAAAAAAAACAACAAACAACCATTCCGTTTTTTTGTTTTGTTTGTTTGACCCGATCTTCTCCCTGCGTGTCAAGGTTCCCAGAGTTTGCAGTCAAAGTTGCAAAGTGACGTCCTCAAAGATCCCAGACGTAGACATCGTCGACCGTGTCCCAGAACCGTCTTCCCTCAAGTGATTCCGGATCGAAATCTCATCTTCTCCGATCGTCACCACAGTCATGGAAACGTGCGCCACTTTCCGCGCCGGCGGCAAGTCCATCAGTCGACACATCACCTTGTCTTCCGACGAAGTCGTCGTCGTTGTCGTCGTCGTCGACGGCTTTTTCAACTTGCTGGTGAGAGGTGTCGCCGTTATCGCCGCCCCCGTGGTCGTGGTTTTACTGCGGGCGTCCACAACGGCGTACAAGTCCGACGCTTTCGGTCTCAGTCGCTCGTAGCCGTCGTCGTAGAGTTCCGTCGCCTCAGGCGGAGGAACGGTTTCGTAGGTCGGCGCGACGTCAGATGTCGCTCCTCCGACACGTTCGTAGCTCGAGTCCCCGCTTTCACTGTCATGATCTAAAAAAAAAGAAAAAACGAGCGAAAATATTCGTAAAAATGTATATAATAAATATAAAATAATTTTCAAAATAAAATTGTTTCATAAGGAAAAATCGAACTTCAATTCACGCTTCGTTTTGAAATATTTTCGATTGAAAAAAGGTCCATCATTTCATGTGTCATCCTGGAAAAAAATAGCGCGTCAAGAACATAAAAGAAACCTACAAATTTCGATTGAAAACAGGTCATCCTGAAAAAAATAGCGAGTCAAGAACATAAAAAAAACCTACGATTCCATCGATCATAAAAAAATAAATAAAATAAATCCAAGATGGCCCAATAATTCCCCGTTTTTCTGGGGCCGACTCGTAAAAAACAATAATTTCTAGGTTTTACTGCGCACCATTTTAATTTTTATTATTTTCCGGTGGAAAAGCGTAAGAGGAATGACCTTTTTTCTGGCCAGTCTTTTCCCCATGGAACCCGGTCAATTGCTCATATAAAGGTCGCACTGGGAACATTAACCAGAGGCTGGGGTCATACAGTTTATGGATCGTGTCAACTGGGAGCAATTGGGGACGAAGGGGGTTCAAAGAGGCGACCACCAGCCGCCCCTCATGAAATACAGTATCGCGCTTCATCAATTGAGGTCAATCCGAGGGCGGCTGTTTATTGTTGTAGTAGAACTTCCGTTACAACGAATATCGACGCAACGGATCACTTCCCCCTCATTCTCTTTTCAATTTGACAAGAAGAAAAAAACGAACATGACAGTAAATTTCTTTCAATTCAACAAGCACCAGCCACGAAATTTAATTCTAAAAATGTCAGGAAAATCGTTTTTCTTTGTCTTCTACCATGAAATTTTTTTTTTTTGTTGGTCGCATGAGGTTAGATTTTTTTCTTCTTTCTAGATCTTCCGTCGACGCCAATTTCGAAATGACGGTAAAATGAATAACTCATTTTTGCGTGACTCGCAGATCTAGCACCTCTCTGGATAACGCAGGTGGCACCGATTCATTTTCCAGAAAATTGCAAAACTTGCGGAATGTTCGATTGGCTTTCCCTAAATTGCGGGTTATGCAGCTGGGCATCATTTCAAAATTATTAGCAATATTTTTTTTTAAATACAATAAAATACTTGATTTTCGGTTTTGTTTTTTTATTGTTTGAAATTTTCAAACATTTTAAGATTGCAAAATAATCGTGGTTAAAGGTCACTCTTACCTACGCCAAAAAATAAAATCAAACATTACATTTTTTGATATTGAAACATTAAACTCTTTCTACTGCTAATTCAAGTAAAGGAAAAATGAAAAATCTCATTGAAAGAAGAATTAAAGACCTGTCCAACAAAGCGTAATTTTGCGAGGAACCTTTTAGCACAAGAATTACGGAAATGATGAATTAAATACAGTCAAACCCCGATAAGACACCACCATTTGTCCAGAGCAATTTTGGCGGTTTAAAGAGGTTGGCAGTTTATCAAATATTTAATTTTAATTATTTGATCAAAATTACTTGATTTTCCACCAAAAGTCATAGAGATACAGGTTATGTAAGAAGCTTCAGTAATTTTCCAGAGTGTTGCTGCGATCAATGGATTACTCTTTCAGAAAATAAATGTTGCTGCATCAAATTATTCAAATTCTAAGATTAGGTCAATATAATTTTCAACAAAATGATCTTTTTTTTTTCTTCTTACAAATACAAGATCCTCGGCAAAAATTATAATTCTACCCTTATGTTGGCATTGTAACAAAGACAAAACTAATTGGAAACAGCACTTTTGTTTCATCAATAATGATAGCGGTTGGCGTCTTATCAAGGTTTTCTATAGAATTCAACATAGAGGAGATTTGTTTCATTTGAAATTTTTGGCAGTTGCTGAGGGTGGCGCTTTATCAGGGGGCATCTTAACGGGGTTTGACTATAGTTTTTTTTTTTTCTTTGTAAAACTGACTTCTTTCTCCCCTAGAAAGTAAGGAAGGAAGGATCGAGTCCTTTAACCGAGGGTCATCCATGATTTCCCAGAATACATTCCGATGGGTATACAGTACAGTACATTACTTCATTCACCTTCGGCAGCGCGTATTTCCTCGTAACCCGGCTCGCAGGGTTTCACCACTCGGTTGTAACCCAGGCTCTCGTAATCCGTGTCCGGCCCGACGTCGTCCATCTCCTCGTCCCCGTCCTTCACTTTCTCGTACCCGAAATCGGCCAGGTTCCCGTCTCCACCCAGTCGCTCGTAATTCGGATCTACGCACAAAAATGCAGCGAATTTCAGAATTTGTGCAAAAAAAAACTCGATACCTCGAACCTCCCGAAGTCGATTCATTTCTTTTTATTCAAGTCTCTGCCTGGATTCCCTCAGAAACAAAAATCGCCTTTTCTGAACTCATTTTGGTTTTTATTCCAAAGAAACAGAAAAGCAATAAAAATGTAACTCGATATGTTTTCAAAAAAAGTTGAAGACTACTTGAGCAATAAACCTCAAGTTCAGCTTTCTGTGAACTCAGTTAAAAGGCAAATTTGAGCCCAGAAAAATCACAAATTAGAATTTATTGTAATTCTTCTTTCTTTCCATCAAACAAAACTGCACGCATCCCTCAATAATTTTTTTTTGCTGGTTCCTTGAAGTTCGACCGTATCAAAAAATTGAAAAAACTTTCAAGAGGAGGCTTTTCCCTAATTTCGGAATGTAAAACTTTCGAAATTGATTTAGAAATTTAACGGCATTTCTCCAACGCCTGAGAAATGAGGTTTTTTTTAAGGTCGCAACGGCATCTAATATAACGAGATTTTTCTAATAACTGAGACGCTCGTAAGAGACAAGTTTTTTTAAACTGTCTGACTGACGATACAAAATGAAAAATTTTTCAAAGGAATGTCCACATCATCAAAATTCGGAATAGAAACTCTCTGCTGAAAACATTTTTTGCCAAATTTCGATCCCGTTTCTACGCCAACGATTTTAGGTCGAAAAGTTCAAAGGAACATTTTCCTTCCCAGCTAAAAAAAAATCAGCTTTCGAAGAACTGATTTCGAATGTAAATAAAACACACACGATTTTGAAGGAAGGAAAAATGTTTCCCACTTTTTTTTCCACCGATAACGCTTTCATTTAATTTCCTAATCCGAGCTTTGGAAGAAAATAACATGGCATACTCACGTAAAAAAATTTCTAATTTGATAAAACAATGCGGAAATCTACCACCAACACGGGTCGAGCTTTTTCCCAAAATAAATCTACTTTCGGAAACAAAACAAAATTCCTAATGTACCCAAGCCCACCTTCAAACACTTTCAAACGCATTTTCGCCCAGCCTGTACAAACAATCAAAGGCACAGACTCAAGTTATCAGCAAACCTGAATTTTTGTTTAGTTTGTTGGTTTCCTTCCTGTTTTCCTCACTTCCATGATTTTTACCCCTTTTTCATGCCCTTAAAATTGGAGGGAAAACCCTGCCTAGAGTTCCTAAAATTGAAAAAAATTGGGTGATTGTGTTTGGGATATGGACAAATCGAGATAAAAAAATTCAAGGAAGGGACAAATTTAGACAGGGACAAATTGAGACAGGGACAAATTGAGACAGGGACAAATTGAGACAGGAACAAATTGAGACAGGGACAAATTGAGACAGGGACAAATTAAGACAGGGACAAATTGAGACAGGGAGAAATTGAGACAGGGACAAATTGAGACAGGGACAAATTGAGACGGGGACAAATTGAGATGGGGACAATTTGAGATAGGGCCAATTCAAGACAGGGAAAAATTGAGACTGGGTCAAATTGAGACAGGGACAATTCAAGACAGGGACAAATTGAGACAGGGACAATTCAAGACAGGGACAATTTGAAACAGCACCAAAGCAACTGCAGATTCCAAGTAGAAAGCAATTAATGCAACTAATTTGAAGTCCATTAATATTACATGATATTAATATATTATTTTACATTACTCACAAGGTGCTGTTTCTTATAATTCTTACTGATAAATGCTGTTATTATACTGACATTTTTGGCATGCACTGTCTGCTCCTTGAGTCTGTGTCCACATATTGGGCCTTTCTTTCTATTTTTTTTGGGCAAATAAGTGTCCCTGTTAAAAATTGTCATGTATGAAACAAAATTAGCAGAACTTCTCACCAAACAGTGCAATTTTTGTTCATTTTCACACCATAATCATAAGATATTAGGGAGAAACACAGTTAAGTCATTTTGCCTCAAACAGTCTGTATCTCAAAATGTCTGAAATTCTCAAAATGTATCTGTCTTGAATTGTCCCTGTCTCCAGAAGTATCTGTCTCAAATTGTCTCAAATTGGTCCTGTCCCAAATTATCTATCTTGATTTGTCTTAGATCCTTATATTTGCATGTTTATGCAATTTGCATATATATGTACCTCTAAACAATACATCATCAGGAAGTTTCTGACCCAAAAAATGTCCAAGCGCTTCTTTCACCTTCAGTTTTTTTGGGAATTCAAGTTGAAAATAATCAAGAAATGGTCATCTCATAGCATTTAAAGATACATGAGTCAATGTCAAGGCACCATCTTTCTTTTTCTATACATTTAGATTTTACCCTAAATACAGTATAGGGTAAAACCTATATTTATTCATAAATTTTAGGATCCTGTAGAATTCAGAACATCAGGAAAGTAAAAGAGCGCTCACATTCACCTATTGAAAGAATTTTAATTTTGTACATGAAAATCTAGGTGGGGGAGGTGCATTATCCACTCATTAATCTTGTCACAAAAAATACCATTACAACAAACTTTTCAGTGCAACAAACTTTTTCTGAAGTCCAAATGGATAGCCCACAGCATACACATTAGGACAACCTCCTTATAAAAAAACTTCTCAATTCCAGTAAAACAAACTTTTTGGAAAAATGTTTAGTAAATTCTCCAAGCATCAATTTCTTCACTAAAGGCAGACACTATCAGAAATTTCTGACCCCGAATCTGACTGACTGGTTTTCTTTTTAGCATGGATGAAAGCTGTAAATCAATGACAAACATGCTTCCAAAGTGGTTCCACACATGATCCTGCCAGAATGAAGAGATGGGTGCAAGTGATGGAATGCACAATTGAATCTGATATTTTTCCAGATCACTCAGCTTTTCAAGCAATAATAAAAAAAATCTGAGAATGCCAAAAAAGCAAGCTCTGTTGAGGAGGAAACCAATGAAGGTTTCCTCCTCAATCAAAACTACAAATACTGTAATTCAATTTTAAGCATCTCAGTCTGTCCTAAACTCTCAACAACAATTATCCTTTTATTCCTGGTGATTTGTGTGCACAAATCTTTTACTCCTGTGCTATTATTCAAATCTGTCTTTTTCATTGTATTCTTATTCTTTGCATTCAACTCGATCATAAAATAAATTATTGAAAAACTAGGAACATATAATCAAAGAACATCCCTTGAATATGTGTTCTTGGCCTTAAAGGCTGATTGCCTGCATTTTTATTTTTATTATTTTGTGATCCTTGATCACAGGTAGGTCAGATGTGAAAATTGTTTCCACTCATTAATTTTGGAAATCTTGCTATAACAAATTATTCAGTAGAGTATAAAAAATTCCTTTTCCTGAAATCCCCAAAAATTTGTTGAGGCGAGATCCCACTGTAAACGAGGACTTATATTTGCGTAAATACGCTATTCTATCCTTACCATCGAGTGGGGATTCCGCGTCCCTGAGATCCAGAGTCGCATACGTTTCCGAGGGCTCCGGCGACGCTGCCGTCGTCAACAACAACGACGATGACGTCGCCGCCGCCATCACCAGCGGCGGCGGACTCATGGGCAGCCTCGCCCGCTTCTGCGACACCTGAATCTGCGCATACACATCCCCAGACGGGAACACCACCTGCGGCTTTCCGATAGTCTCGTAATTCGGATCCACGTCCGACTCCGACGGCACTCGGGGTCGCCCTCCACCACCCACGCCGCCACTGTCCACCACCACCACGTCCAGTCGCTCACGCACCACCTCAAACTCGGAATAATTCACGTCAGAGTGCCGCAAGATGTCGCTCTTGATCCTCTTATGCGCCGTCGGCCGCGTTTTATTCGTCACTTTGGCGTACACGTCCTCGCGTCGCTCCACCGGCGGTGTGGGCGTGGGAGGCAACGGGGAATTGAGCACTCGTCGCTCGGGCAGCGGGGAATGGTCGTCGATGGCGGCGCCGGCGCCAGGTCCCGCGGCGGCGAAAGCAGCGGCGGCGTCGACGACGTCCAGCGCTGGAGGAGAGGATATCCTGCAGCGGGCTTGTTGCTGAACGGCGGACCGAAGGCTTCTCACGCTAGGCGGCTGCGGCGGAAAGTAGCTCTCTTCCGCCACTGGCGGCAATTCGATCTGAGCGTACGTGTCACTGCCCGCTGCTGAATCTATGGCGGCGTACATTTCATCTGCCAACAAACATTCGAAACGTCACCATGTTTTTTTCAATTTTTACAACACAGAAACTTGATTTTAAAGAGTAACGAGGACAAGTACACATTTGTTACACACGATACCAATTAAACGAGGGACAACTTCACAAATTAACCGGAACTTGAATGAGATAGGAGACAAATAATTTCATACACAAGCCCAAACAACAGAAAAATCAGAACGAGAAACAAAAGGACAACTTCAAAAAATGAACCGAAATTTAAATTAGACAGGCAACAAATTAACAAAAATAGAATCTCGTTATAAAGAATAATAGCTTACAACAAAGTCGTCGTTTTTCTTGCGGGTCCCTGTCCGATAGCCACGATGTTAGATGAGCTACGTTACACCGAATTTTTCGTTACAACGATGCTATTTTACTGGTCACCATGGCTTCGTTGTACCGAGATTTTACTGTAATACAGAAGCTCGAACTACAGAATATCTAATACGTTACTCAAATGAACGAGAAACAAAAGGGACAACTTCACAAATGAAGCAGAATTTCAATGCGATAGGAAACGATTCAAATACTACTGACAGTAAAACGAAATTCATTTCGAAACGCTTCTCGATAGCTTTATAAATCTAAGAGTGAATTCTATTCGCGTAAAAACAAGTTAGAAAAATCAATAAATTCTAGAAAGTTGATTAAATCTTGCACGCGTATTTACGAACAACATGAAGCTTCGAAGGAAACCCGGCATAATTCTTGAAAATCTTGAATCTTCAAATTTCTGCAGGTAATTCAGCTCATTCGTAGGAATGTTTCACTGCAGTAGGATTTATCAAGGATAAATAGCGTATTAACGCAAATACAAGTCCTCGTTTACAGTGAAATTGAAATCTCGCTACAACAAATTTTTGGGGATTTCAGGAAAAGCATTTTTTATACTCTACTGAATAATTCGTTATAATGAGATTTCCAAAATTAATGAGTAGAAAAAATGTTCACATCTGACCTGCCTGTAATCAATTAGAGCTTGCTTCCCAGGCATTCTCAAATGATTTATTGAGAAATTGAAGTGATGGACCAATTATGCAAATAACCCATGCCTCTGAGTTCCGCATCCTGTCAACTTATTTACGAAGCAGTAGTTTCGTGCCAAAAATATCACTAATTTTTACTAGCTTCAATTCTTTTTCAAGTCAAATTGATAGTTTCCATAACTCGAAACCACTTCAAGTGGAATATTTTCCGGTAGTCCCTTTGACTTCGACTTACAGAGGTTCAACTTCATTCACTTCGGGCATTTTTTTTTTGTGAACTCAAAAACCATGGGAGTACTCCTGGTTCTTTCCGCGATTTGAAATTGGGACAAGACGCACTTCTCATCGCCTCATCAGACATTTACAACTACGATAGCCTCGTTAACTCAGCATCACTCTTCTCGTCACACGCACACTTTCCACGTCAAATTTGAACAGAAATCTCAAAACTTAAAGTAATTGAACAAACACGCAACGCAACGCACCGGAGTCCTCTATCACAGACGCATATGGTGATTCGTGGTTGGCCATTTGGCGAGTCGTGGCCATCTGGGCCCGGATCCGGTCCAACGGTTCCCTCACGCTGATACTCGTATATCCACCTAAAACCATCGTCCAAGGAGATTACTGCCGCGTTGGTATTCTGAATCATGAATGCCTCGCATCACGGACAATCCAAACAATGGGTTCGAACTGATACAGATTGTTACAGTACTGTATTTCGGATAGTCTTTCCAAAAATCGAAACCAAGACACAGAAAATACCTCCACAGAATAAAACGACACCGAATCTGATTCTTTGGCACAGAAATGAGCCAAAAGAGTATAGAAAAAGAACAAATCTTCGTATTCTCTGCAGAGATCATGGAAATATGTAATGTAACTCGAAAAAAATAAGCACAGAATAGCCCGTGTTGATTACAAAATAGAGTTAATTGAAAACATTCATGATAATTTTTGTGAAAATAAATACAAGTATTGCACATTTCACATAAAACTGATATTGATTTGGCAATTTGTTCGAAAATAAATGACGAAATCTCCAAAGCCTTCGCATTACTCAGTTGAAGGGCACTTCGACGTACTAGAAGCGGTCTGCCATTCTATCGAGCTTCAAATGATTCCAGCAATCTACTAGAATTTTCGGATAGTAGACTTTCCACCGGAAGGAATCAAGTTCATAATACACCGAGGCAAGAAAAAAATCGTATGATTCCTCCGCAAATACTCACGGGAATCTTGCGAATCTCCACTGAAATGAGGTTGCACAGGAACTTCAGGAATAGGTTCAGGTTCCGCACGGAAAGTTGCCTGATGAGGATCATGATGAGGTTCGACCAGGGCATGAGGCGTTATCACCCTGCAAATGTGAGAAAAAAAAAAACAATTTCAATGTGAACAAAAAAAATATCGAAACGAGTCAAAAGTTCAAGATTTCAACATTTCAGCAACAACAAAAAGTCGTTGATTGCATCGGAAGAGAGGTCACGTACGTGTCATTTCAGGAAGTTAAGATGAGAATACCCTATTTTCAAGAAATCATGTTCATCCAACTCGAAGTGGAATTTTTTCAGGAACACAGATTCAAATTAAAACAATACACTTGGAAACGCTCGACTTAGTTCTTCTTCATTCTTATCCAAAACACTGAGGGAAACACCGTTTTGAAGTCTTCCCGGATTAAGCTAATTTAATCTTGAGAAACACCACATCGTTTAAAAATGCATAAGACCTGAAGACAAACCTTGGCTCTTCAGAAGGTCCAGCTTCATCCGAATCACTTTCCGGAACCGCGGGTTGGTCGCGAATCTTGGCGTAAGGATGCTCATCCTTCACTTTCTTTTTCACTTTCTTCGTCGGAATTTTGACTTTGGCATAAGGACGATCAACGTCGTCGTCGCGGACTCTTTCAGGGTCCGATGAGGTCGTTTCTACGTGAGAGTCCCGGTGGGGAAGTAGACTGGGGTGACTTGTGGATGGAATGGAAGGAAGAACTTCAACAGGAGCCGTGGGGGGCTCCACGAGCGATAACGGGCGTTCCGGAAGCCGTCTGTTCGCTGATACGAAGCCATTCTCCGTCGTAAGATGTCGAAACTGGTCAGAGTCATACGAGGTCTGAGCCTTTCTCGATATCGTCTGGATTCCATTGAAGTCCAACGGGAGATCCGAAGATAATCTGCAGAAACACAGAGAAGTTCACTCCCGACCGAAGTATTATTCCGAATGTGAACTCACATTGCTTTTCGTTTCCGTTTTGCACACACACAGAGAATAATGCTGGACGTGAGAACCAAGAGAGCTACGGCAGCGGGAATCACAAAACTAGCTAAGTGATCGCTTCCTTCGATCATGTTTCCGCGTGCGGACCACCGCCGCGGATTCCCACCTCAGCATCAACAGTACGCGATGTACCGTTGATACATACTTCTTCAGTGCATTGGGATGCGAAACTACAGACACATGAATCGAAAAAATACTCGTGACTGTAACATTTTCATTTACCCAACAGTTACCCTTGCGCCGGGGCTTCATGAATGGAAATCTCAAGCTAGACTTGGGATATTTATTCAGGAACGGTTTCAACTACGTATTTTAGAATAAGAGGCGAACACGAGGCCTTCAATCAAGTTCATTCATCTTTCAGTGAAACCTAAATAGCTCGCTGACAATTTCCGTTTGATTTAAACTACAGGTTATTCGTCTTTAAATACACCCGTCTTCGTTTCACATACACATAATCAGCCGAGTAACGCAGTTACCTTTTTCGCCCTCCAGCGAAATTACATTCAGTCCTCTTTCCGGCGGGATCGCGATCAATCTAATTCATTGGATTATCATCTTCATGATAGTACCGTAATAACAAGAGATCCGCGGTGGGAAAGATGTACGAGACGAGTCCAGATCCTAATGCTGTGAATAGCCGCGGCTCATTCATCGCGCCTAGATGTCACTGTTCAAGCATCAAGATTCCCATGTCCAAATTTGAAGTGGTGTAGTTTCTCGCTGATGGAGAAGGAAGCCACGCCAACGAAACTCCGCGCCACTGCATTCAAGAAATATGCAAGCTCTTTTCCAAATTTCAAGAGCAAAATGTGTTGGGCATCAAATGCTGCCAAAAGTGTCAAGTTTGGTTGGTACATTAAACAATAATGCATGATTGCTCATGAATCATCTAAATGTAAATATTGTGAAATTTGAATTCATGATTTCCACTTCAGCCAGCACTCATCAACTTTTGTTCTGTTCATGCAAATTCAAATACTCTTGCACATCAAGATGCCCACTGATGTTTTATGCATGTAAATATTTTTTAAATGATTTAAAGGCTGAAAATTGTTACAATTATGATTAAAAACATATAAAAATATTTTTTCTGATTTTTCAAAAACAATTTCTTTTTTTCTGTAACTTTTTCAATATTATTGTATGTTTTCCAAAGTTAAAAAAAAAATGTAGGAAAGTCCACTGCTCTTCATTTATGATGCAGCCACAAATTTGAAGTTCATGGGTCCAAATAGTTGATGGTTGACACAATGAATTCCAGCTGCAAGGCATGTGGCGTTTCTGGTGAGGTGCTTCAGAAGGCCCCGTGACATGAGCGCCATGGCAGAAGCAGCGTCATCAGCAGAAGCGCCAGAGCGTCATCTGTTCCGCGATGCTGCAAACTGCTTTTGCTGTAGAAGTCACTCCATGTGAAACATTTTCTGCTCCAGCTTCGTGCTTGGTTATGGTGGGCAGCAGTAAACATCGTATACATTACACACATTCAATTAAGTTGTCCAGTTAGTCAGGGAGTAATTGGAAATCAACTTATTTTGAGTTATTTACAGCTTGTAAGATGTGCTGAGTTATATACTTATGCAGCAGGGTCACCACCCTATTCACATATCCGGAATGATGTGGACGCCCTTAATGCTAGCCCATCAGTTTGTCTTCAGGAATCAACATCACTCTCAAGTCAATCAACAGCATGAAATGAAATGCAAACTACCTTTGCTGTATATATTTCACAGATGTTGATCAGTCCATCCACTGCATGTTTTCTTGCTTCTTGATTGTGGAAATGAGAAAAAATTAAATTTTCAATTGTTGTGGATATTTTTTTTCATTTTGAATTGCTGAGTGCTGTACATATTTTTAAGAAGGAGTTGAGGCATTTTCCCAACTGGCAAGTTATCTTTATTTGCTGCATTTCCATCATTATCAGCAATAGCACATATAAAATATATGCATAGACAATGAAGAGTATAGCAAATAATCGCACAGCACACATAATAGAGTTGTCTTCAATCAACATCACTCTCAAACATAAGATTGAAGATCAAAAATCTCTATTATAACAATTGCCAGTAACTATATAACAATAAACTTCAAAATGAGGTTTCCGACAGAATTGCTGTATATATAGATGGCGTTTACAGCTTAACCCATTTCAGGACTGTGTCTTCTTATTGTCTATCTCTGCTGCATATGCTTCAGAATTTATAGGTTTTCACCTTATAGGGAACTATTTCCCTTGTCCAGCGAATGCATCAATCAATAATCGAAGAATGGACCAAAATTTAGACTGATTTGGGCGATCCTGATTACTTCCATCTCCATTACTGCCTTGAGCATCAGTAGTTCTGGCTTGGATGGTCTGGGTCGTCGTGATGGTTGTATTATTCGTGTTGATGCTATTGCTGGTAGTCAGGACTGAATTCTGAGTTGTAGTGGTTGCATTCATCAAAACAATTGTAGTTGTCGGGTTCTGGGTCGTCGTCGGTACTGCTGGTAAAGCATTGCTACAATTGACGTCGCTGAAACTGCAGATGAAATCCTTGTGACTTGGAAATGCCAGTGAGACCCCAGCATGTGTTCCGTTACAGTCTGCCCCAAATCGTGTGAGTGCAACCAAGTATTGATTATTGTCAGCTCCAAGGACCACAACTGCACTTCCGACAGGAATCTATGTATATAGAGAAACATTTCCGGCACAGTATTACATTTCCAGCTGAAGGTAAGCTCAAAACGGAAGTCGTGTCTATATTTAATCGCATATAGGGGTAAAATTAAGTTTTAAAAAGTTGCAATCATTTATACATGTACAGTATATATATATAGGGTACCTTTCCGCACAATCCTGGTTCGCTCCGCATGGAGATGCAAGCAGCAGACTTGGTGTTCAATTCGCCCCCGGCCACGAGAATCAGCGACGTTGGATTGCACTGTGTTCCGCTGACAGTTGCTTCATCCACTTTTCCGATGGAACCGTAATACTCTGCAATAATAATATATCAATGCAGCGGGCATATAAGTACTGTATGTCATAGATTGATTAAGAGCCCATGCAAAATAATGATTGTGAATGCAATACTGTACATGTCAATAATGTATTATTCTTCTGTTTGAGGTAAATCTATTTACTGCATCATATACTGTACATGAAAGATTTAAGTGTCTCAGCGCAGGATGGAATAAAGCAACATGCTCTGCAGCTCTGACATTCTCAGCGTAGATGCGATTTGAAGAAGAAATCACCAGGAAGCCCGCGCACAGATCTTCTCACATTACTACAGGTTCTATAACTTTTTTCAGGTTTTCAAAAAGTGTATATATGTTATCAGATGATGCTCGTTATATAGTGACACGGGCTGAAAACTTCCCATCAGCAGCAGTTATATTATTGACGGAGTTTTCCATCGCACAATTAAGTGAGAGCTAGGAGATTGTTGAACATTTGTCACACTATGTATCTAATATCTAAATGAGTGGGGATGGTGGAATGAAAACGTCGTGATTCCAATACTGGAATACCGTGGTCATGCCTCATCTCCAGCTGATGAATAACGGCCGGACTCCTAGAAAAATCCGTCTGTGCTCTACAACTGGAATTATACTGTATTTATGCTATAAATGGATATAAGGTCAGGTTATTCATGTTTGTTTGTATACACTTATTGTTCCATAGATTTAATTCAAGTTGTGATTAGCTGAGGAATCATTTTTGAAAAGTTTGTTCCAGCACGGAGAGGCTTGAGAACGTTATTCCAGTATCGTCGGAATTGAGACTTCATTCATGAAAAAAATTCAAAAAAATGTGTCAAACAGGGCGGATATTTTTTCGTGTGCCCAGAATGTTTTCCCTATACTGAAGAAAAAAAATTTTCAGCTCAAGCCATTTTCATTGCTACTCCGAGAACTTTTGTTAGAACCCTCGTATATATATGTATAAATATATACTGTATACTCACCTCGAAAGGCAAAAACCGAAATTTGACTGGTAGTGGCTGCAAGAATCGAACCGTCGACATCGATTGAGACGCGGATGAACCCAACGCCGTTTCCTGAAGCCAATGCCTGGTCCGCCGGCAATTCAATCATTGCGAAACTGTTATTGAAATACGAGTTCACGTTTGACTGATCTGCTGCAATTGCTCCAGGAAACGGAATCACAGCACTCAGATGTGAAAGCAGGACAGGCGTACTTGATTCAAAAGGGGCTTTGATGCGGTACCCCGTCAAGGCGTAGATATCACCATAAATCTCTTGTAAGTAGGCCTCCGTCAGCTCGTGATGGAAGGCCAGAATATGCCTGAAATATACAGCATTCACACAATAAAACCGCAGCTAGTGGCAAAAATGGTGATTATGTCTGCATGCAACTTATTATTGGGGTACCGACAATTCTTTGTAGAGTGAAATCTTGCTATAGCAAACTTCCAACAGGATCCTGCTTGGTAACAAAAAAATTCGTTGCATGCAGGCGCACGCGGTTATTTAAACTGTAGTCCAATAAATATCATGACTACAAAATACCGCACTTTGTTACATTCCCTTGTCTGCTTTACATTCCATTCTGCATTGTTAATCAAATGCGCAACCGCACCTTTACTTCCTTTTAAATGTCTTCCTACATTGTATGCCTTTCACCTTGGTTGCCGCGCAACCAAGTATGTCAACACCAATCCTAATCAGTAGCATGCTTGGCATTGACCTCAAATGCAATTGTCTATAAATACAAGTGTCCAGCATGTCTTATGTTAAGTTTACTCTGACCAAACTCTTGCTGCAAGAACCTTGATGTTGCATATATATGCTCATACATTATTCTATGCTTTGTGAAATGGAATAAATATGCACTTGTAAAGATTGTTGAAGTCTATTTTTGATTCTTTGAAAATATGCGGAAAATGATTTAAACCTTCAAAACAAAAGTCATATACATGGTCAAATTTATAAAGAATTGTCTGATCAACAATTCTTATAATCAAATTTAGACTAGTCTAAGAAAACAAGTTTTCTTTTTTGAAGGGGTGAGTCCTGAAGTGAACTAGTGTTAAAAGTGCACTTACCACAGTTCAAAAGCAAAAACAAATAGAGCTAAATAAAAAAAAATAGGTCCTAAAACTTTCGTGAATTTACAAAGACTTACAGTGCAAAAAGTTCTGAGTTTTCTTTTTTGAAGGGGTGAGTCCTGAAGTGAACTAGTGTTAAAAGTGCACTTACCACAGTTCAAAAGCAAAAAGAAATAGAACTAAATAAAAAAAATAGGTCCTAAAACTTTTGTGAATTTACAAAGACTTACAGTGCAAAAAGTTCTGAGTTACTCACACCCACAAACCAGTGTACAAGGTTTGTGAAAATAGCAACTAAGGCCAATCAAAAAAGCTTTTGAGAGAAATTTGCCAAAAAGAGACCACCCACTCAGAAGTAGAACTTTACAAGTTCAGTGCTGAAAGTGAGCAAGTGACATGACTCTGTGACCCAAAATTTTGCCAACTCCAAAAGTCAGCAAACTCCCCAGCGTGCATAGACAAAGAATTGCAAATAAAGAGCCTGAGATTGTAGTGGTTTACCCAACGGAATTGGTTGCACTTCTGCGAGCTGAAGCGGCATGTTTGCGTGCTGAACAAAACATAGATCCCAGACCTTCTGCAGAGAGAAGAGCACTATACTAGAAGATGAAGCCAAGCTATTTGACAAACCAGTCAAGAGCTATATGACTCAATTATTCAATCTCTCTCTCCTAATTTAGCTGCATTAAATGAAAGCACAGTTGCAATCAAAACAACGCAGTTGGCCATTTTTGCTTTCCATCTCAAAGATGAAACAGAGAAAAGAAAAAGGGAAGTTGAACAAGCAAAGGGGATTAAAAATCAACTCCTAGCTAAAGAACTAATGTTGAGCCAGTTGGATGCCCCTATATACAAAAGATGAGGTTGTGTTCTATAATCAGAAGACTTTGCGTGACAGTGGCACTGATGAAGGCAATAAAAATGTGGCTAATAATATCCTTGCCAACATCCCCCATTTCACGGGTGCTGAAGGTACCTGGGTGGACCGGTGGAATGAAGTGTGGTTGGCATTGGCCAATTGCAATGTCACTGACTTGCATATATGAGATCAATTATTTGCCAACGCGTCACTGGCATCAGCAAGGCTAAAGAATTCCTGAGCACTATCCCTGATCTTATAAAGCAACCATACCCAATAATAGTGAGAGCTCTGGAAAAGGCTTATGGAGGTGACCTGATGGGAATTGGAGTGCTAAAACTGCAAAAGAGTATGCAAGGTGATCTGGAGTCCATATTGGATTATTCTGTTCACGTCAAGAGAATTGGAATTGACATGCTGGGCAAAGAGCCTAGTAAGATCAAACTAATGAGGACTGAGAATTCCAATCCTAAAATAATTGCTAACCCAATGTTGGCTGAAGAGACTCTCTGATACAAGTCACAGAAATTTCAAATTGACAAGATTATGCTGAGTCATTTTATGGTGGGATTGCTACCAGAAATCTTGAGAAGACTTGGTGCGTCCCCTGTAACTCTTGATCAAGCAATAGAAGCAACAACTCACATTGAAAAGTTGCAAAAATTAGAAATAAGTGCAGAAGCGAGACAAGTCTACTGCACCTCAGTAACTACCACAAGTACTAGCAATCAAATAGTGCATACATGTTATAATTGGGGACATCCAGGGCACTTTGCTATTGAATGCAGAAATTGAGGCAAAACACTCATGAATTCTGGAACAAGTGGCTACCAGCCAAATGAACAACAAGCACTAGCACCCCCTATATATAGTGGGAGAATACTTTTGCTCTTGTTCCCTGCAGACTCTGGTCTGCTGCAAGTGACTCTAGGATCCCGCAATGGAAGATTCCCTAGTTGCAGCAAAAGTCCAGACTCTCAATCTTCTAGTCCAGGACAATCAAGATCCCAAAGAAGGAAGGGAAACCCGTGAGGAAGAGCAGTGGCAGTTCCTCTACAATGGGGAATTACGTCTGATTGGACAGAAGTATCTGTGTTCACTTCACCTCTCAGGAACAACTGGATGGATTACAAGTGGAAGGGGTTGAAGAGTATCCTGAGTTGCAGTTGGGAAGTAAATGCTGACCGGGGCTTCTTCCCTCTTGAAGCTCCTGATGGTTGTCCTGCTTACCACTTCTGTCACTCCCATTCCTATCAAGTTCTTGATAAAGACCATGATCCAAGGTATCATTGATTTCTCCATTCTTCTTGCCTGATGGTACTATTACGCAGACCCCTAACATATCATTGTCTACCATTGAGGACCAGAAAATTCTGGTACAAGGTTCCCTTGATGCCTCATCTTTGTGGTTTGAAGACTTAATCCTTGCCAAAATAACTTCATTGTTAACCAAACTAGCTGACAAAACTTTTGATGGAATCTTAGGACACATTGTGCTTAATGCTACAAATGCTGGAATCAATTATAAAAAGAAGTGCCTCATAATGTCTCAAGTCTGTATATTCCTTTCTTTACCAAATTCCCAAAGGTCTTAAACAAGTAGGGATTTTGTAAGCGTTAATTCTGAAAAAATTGCCATTTTGTCTTAGTAAATGGGAATGACTCAGGGAGACTTGCTGCCATTTTGGGGCACCCATATACGTGTCTTTGGCAATGGGAAGGGTGTGAATTCTGAACAACTTGAAAACTTTGGAGTTCCGGATAACGGGCACTATACTTAACACCTTTAAACTGCACGTCCCATTGTCTTTGGTCAGGGTTTTGCAATCAAAAGTTCCCATGGTTACTGGGTTAGATCTAATAATATCAAACAATTCCGTCGCCATTGGTCCACTTATTGGTGGCCTATGCTCTGTAGTTATAATTTCCTCTAGCACTGTATGTACTTGACTGTAATTGAAGAAATGTATAGGATGTCACGGGTCAACTAGATGTCGCCTGCGCATGCCCCGATTAACTCAGGAAAACCAGGTGCCGCCCAAGTCGGCACAACAACAGAATGTACGAGAGTACGACGCGGCGTACAAAACGCTGCATTGTCCTCGTAACTCGGAAAAAGTATTCCTGAAAAAGGAGTAAGTATTAATAAATTATTATTTTA